GAGAGAAAGAAAAATGAGAGACAGGAAAAGGAGAAAGTCTCCAGTTCCCCCAAGTGCTGTGCCCGTTACCGTAGCCGCTGTCTCTCTCCCTCTTCTAATTATACCCCTGTGAGTTTATTAATCAACTTGTAAATTATTTAGAGAGTCATGCGCTGTCTTCAGCTAGTACAAACACACGGCATGAGAAGACTGGCTGGAAAAACCAGTGGAGATCCCCCAAAGGATCTCTCCCTCTCTCTCTCTATCTGCAATGTTCAGCCAGCTTGCGGCTGGCTGTTTTGGGTTTTGTTTTTTAAGGAAAAAAATAAGAAATAAAACCAGCTTACCTCCTCAGATAGAAAGATTTACCTAGCCTTTCAACTCAGACATTCTTTGCAAGTTATGGATTTTTCCTCTCCACCACCCTCCGTCTGCCCAAATAAGAGGGAGAGAAAGTGGTTCTATTGTTAAATCTTTAGCTGGTTCTTTTAGAGAGGAGAATGTTAATTTCACTGTCTGTATAGATGAGCTGCGATCCTGGCCACTGTGGGATCTAATCTCGCAGAAGCCATGCCTAATGGAAAATAATAAAAGCCACTTGAAAAAAGATACCCCAATTTTAGAAAAAATAAGGCAAAGTTATGCCACTCCAAGAAAGACTTTTCTTGTTAGTAATAGCACAAATTAAGAGATTCCCAAATTCCCACTGCACTCCCCCTCCCCCAGCCAACCAGACAAGAGGAGGCTGCTGGGACATCATTCAAATGTTACTACTTTATAAATAGAGGGTGGGCATAACTCCGACGTGGCGGGTTCGTTTCTGGCTTTGCTGGGCTAGCAGGCAGGAGCCACTCTATTTTCCTTGCAGTTTTTTCCGTTTCAGTGTAAAAAGCCTCGGCAAAGAGGAAGCAAAACAAGAGCGGAGCCATGCCTTGCCTTGCCTTGCCTTTGCCTCCGCTCACAAAATAACGGCTTGCTCTAAAGGCACATTCTTTTGCAAGGTGCCCCTGAACCTCTGGCCGCCTTCAGCCAGTGCAGTGGGGGTCGTGCAAGGTAAGTTACCTGACGGCTGATGCACCGCAGGCCATTTGCCTTGCGCATTCATTGCGCTCAGCCTCACCTGTCCTTGCTTGAGGTTGGGGGTGGACTTGGCTGCACCAGTGCAAGAGGGATTGTAGTTCAAAAGCCAAGTAAAGGAGCAACTGGAAAGCTCACCTAGCAATAGATGCTGAGGCCCCGGGTCCCAGCTTCATGGTTCGGGCCAAGCTCGTGGCAATCCAAGCAAGAAAGATCTTGGGATTGTCATGAACTGCCTTGTGAAAAGGTCAACCCCATGTGCAGCAGCTGCTGTGCTAGGCGTGATGAGACTGAAATTAAAGCTGCCGAGATACTGTACATAGTCTGGTCACTGCACCTAAAAAAGATATTGTGTGATAGGAAAAGATCCGGAAAAGGAGAACCAAGGTGGTTGAGCAAAGCCCTTACCAGGAAAAGGGGCAATGTCTGGAAATATTTTGCTTGGAATAAAAGGCGAGTAAGTGGAGATATGAGAAGGTGCACAGAATACCCAAGGTGTGGAAAAGGGAGGGAGGGAGGGATAGGCTTTTGTCTCTCTCTCATCATACTAAGACCCAGGATCATCCCATGAAGTGGGCTGAAGAGGTTCGGGACAGATCAAAGAAAGTCCTGAGTTAAACTGTGGAATTCTCTTCCACAAGACTGAGTGATGGCCAGCAACTTAGAAGGCTGTGAAAAGGAATGGACCGATTCATGGAGAAGACTCCTGCGGGCAAACTCCAGGATCGGAGGAAGTGTGCCTCTGCACTCCAGCTGCTGGGGAACATGGGCTGGAGGGTACTGTTGCACTCCTACCCGGCTTGTGGGTTTCCCATGGGCAGCACGCTGGCTCCCTGTGAAGAGAATGCCAGACTATCCGGCAGGGCTCTTCTTATGGGAGCAGGAAAACTGAACCAATGGCTGGGTTGGGGTTGAGGACCCCATAGGTCCTCTCTGGCTGGAGTTCCTTGGGCAGACCAGTGCAGGCGCCAAAGGCCAGCATAGTCGGGCTCCTGCTGTGGGTCCACATCCCTGCGGGGGTCCACTGCTGCAAACCCCTGGGGAAGCTCCGCCTGTTCCCCACTGCCACCTGCTGGATCGAGTGCCTCTTGCTGAGATCCAGCCAACGGTGGTAGTGAGAAGAAGGTGCAGAAGATGCCACAGCCCATTTGTTCACTGGCCCTGTGCTTGCCAAGCAAGCAAGAGGCTACTGTGCTGAGGGAGAAGGGGAGGAGCAAGAGCCACTGGGAAAACGGTGGTGGGAACAGAGACCCACTGCAGGAGCGGGCCCAGTCAGGGGGGCTTGCTCAAGGGCCCTCAAAAACTTTGACCCAGTCTTGGCCTTGGTAGCGCTGGCACAGGGGATGGTGCCGGGTCTCATCTCTGGCATGAAACCGCCAGTGCAGTAGCACTGGCTGCACCTTTCTGAGGACCTTCAAGGCCTTCTGTGAAACCAGCAAGAACCCCCCTCCCATCTCACAAAACACTTCACCTTCTGCTCAACGTGAGCAGCCTGCCTGCAGCTCCCATACTTCCCAGCCTGCTTGGCCGATGGCTGTTGAAGGGCCAATGGCCATGCCAGCTAGGAATTATGGGAGATGCAGTCCGACGCATCTAAAGAGCACATGGCTTGGGAAAACTGAGCTTGAGAAACAAGGCTGTGTGGTTCCCTCTGCCAACCGGAGGCTATTTATTTATTTAATTTATTGAACTCCCCTGAAAACAGATTTATCAGGGTGTTTAACAGTTTAAAACCTAATAATAAAAATGATGCATATGAAACCCCTACAAGGGAAGAATCAACAGAATAAAGCCAATAAACGTGCCGTAAAAGATCATGACCCAGTTCCAGCATCACAATAACCCAGAATTCTTATTTCTTCTTTAAGTTCTGGCCTATTGCCCAGAGCAGACATACCTAGCATGTTGCCTATTGTGAGCAGGAACAATAGTCGTTTGCCAAGACGCATGAACAAGGAACTCTAGCACTTCAGTTCCCTAACAAATCAGTGAAGTAACTAGCTTGTGGGGGCCAAAACAGGCCAGACTGCTCTGCGCATTGCAGGAAATGACCCAAAACATTCCTGTGCTGCTCAGTGGGAATGACTGCCATGAAGCAGCACGCTCGCTTGTTCGTGCTGACCCCGGGTTAAAAAAAACTCCTGCACAGTCATTTCGCTTAAACCAGGCCAATTCCGGGGATCAAGGGTAAAACCACACCGCAGTAACTAAAATAATAAAATGGAAAAAATGCAATATATTTGAAAAACCTAGCAGCAAAGGAACATCTTCGACTGATGGTGGATAGAGAGCCATATCAGCGTCAGGCTGGAGGAGCATTCCAGAGCTAGTGGGGCCACCACCGGAAAAGCCCTACTCCTTGTTGCCGCCCTCTGCCAAGCAGGCTGGCCTATGGATGACCTTCTCTATGGCAGCTAGGGCAGCAAGCAAAATCTGAGAGACAGAGAGAGCTCTAATGAAGAAGGAATGGCAGAAAGAGCCTCGAATTCAGGTGAACTTACTTCCAAGTAAGCCTGCATGACAAACAGGATTGTTTCTCCACCACCACCCCTCAGAAGTAGTCAATACCATTTCATTTTCCCCAAGGCCTTTTGCGAGCCCACTAATGAATTCTTGTTAGTGTTTACTCATGCAAATTCATTCTTTGTTATCCCTTGGAGAGAAGGATTAGTGAAATTATCGGACTTATTATTTTCTGCTCTTGCAATACAAATATTGGCATGCCTTTTTCTGGAAGTTATGCCTCACTTAAGCTACATAGCCACGCAAATGCAAAAAAAGCCATGGAAAATTTATAGGTAACGTGGGTGGGGTATGGTGTCACTTCTGGGAGTGTTCTCAGAATTTGTCGCAATAATGTTTACCGAAACCCACCCTTTCTAACTCAGAATCCTAATTAAAAGAGCTAGTGTGCCAGTGTTTCTTTTTAGCAGCAGCTAAAACTTAACTTGATCTGCCCTTTTAATATCCCTATCTGATCCAGAACTGGAAGTTTGCCTTTTTTTGGCTTTCCTTCTTCCCTGGTTGCCTCTTTGCACGGGAGAGCCAAATGAGGTGCCTGCAGGTGCTACAGCACCTGCAACCCCTCCTTTGAGCCCCCGTTTCTCCTGACAACAGTGATGGTGACAACACAGTGCTTGGAGAGCTGGACTGGGACTGGAGAGATCCAGGTTTGATGCTGGGATTGAAAAGCTGAAAGAGCAGAATGGTTGGTGAATGGGTTTGGCTTCCTAGGTAATAGCCAAAATGGTCTAAGGTCAGAGGTTGCTGAGGGCAGCAGAAAGCAACCAGGGCAATTCCATTCTAAGTGTGTCTACCCAAAGGTATGTGGGCCCTGCTTCCTCACAAGAATACATGGAATTGCACTGTTAACATTTGCGTTAGCTTCTGCTGGGGAGCCCGGGAGTTACTGTTATTATTATCATCATTATCCTGCCTGTCCTCCAATATTGGGAACAGAGTCTTTTCTGTCTAAATATGCACAGGGTTGTATCCTTAATTATGTCACTGATAGTTAAGGGAAGGCATGGAGGGGCACAGGTGAGGCTGAGAGACAGAGATTTGGCACTGCCCCCTCCATTCTGTTGTGGGGCAGCATCCCCCAGGGGAACGGTGTGAACATACACCCCCCTCCAAGGGCCATACAGGTGCTCCGTGCCGAGGGGTTTCAGAACGTACGGCCTTACTCAGATGGAGCAGGACTCGACTCCAACAGTGGTGTGCATTCACTCGCAGCCTTCCCAGAACGGGACTACGGGCCATCCCCACCCGTGCAACATTGCCTGTGTGTGCTAGGAGTACCAGGAAAGCAAGCCAGCCACGTGTGGGTGCAACCTCAGGTGTGAACACAGCATGAGGATCCCTCCAAAGCCCCCATAAACCTGGAGGGCATTTCAGCCCCCGGATCTGCACCCACTGCCTGGGAAGTAAGGAACGCGACCTACCTGGCCTTCCATTGTCGAAGTATGGCTTAATGAGTTCCCCGAGTTTTGTCTCGTCGGCTACAGCTTCCTTTAGCAGTTGCCCGCAGCAAACTGAGAGGAAGGAGGAAACAAAAAGATGCCAGGTTAATTTTTAAAAAGAAAGCAAGAGATAAAAAGGGAGAAGAGGCAAAGTGTGCGGGGGGGGGGCGGGGGGACGGGATGGCAAAGAATCCACAGACTGGAAACGGTCACTGAATGAGCTAAAAAGAACAGGGCTCAAGATGTTTTCTCCATCTCTCTTTCTCTCAGCCTAACCAAGCAAAAGCAGGAAGGCATATGGAATAAAAGGGAATACATTTGACAGAGAGAGAGGAATATGGGATGGAAATCATATGTCAAGGGAGAGTCGATGGGCTCCTCACTGGTTACAAACTTATGAATGCCAAAGGAAGCTACAGCGTCCACGTTCTTCTGCCAGAGGTCCAGGGTTCTCCTGGCTTGCTCACATGGCACATTATCTTAAAAGATTACTGAATGACTGTGTCAGCATGCTGATGATCCCTGAATGGATGCAAAAGCTCCTCCAGTCCTGCCCCTCATCTGAAGTCCAGCTATCTGTCTGTATCCAAATGCTGCTCACTTCTCCCATCCAGGAAATGCATACAGAGCAGGGCGGGGGGGCATGGAGGATGCATTGCCTGGGGGACCACAGATCCATGGATCCAGTACTGCAATGGACAGTAGAGGACTCGCAGCTGCCAATCTGAAGGGTCTGCAAACATAAGGTAATTATGCATAGCACTGCATAATTTCAAAGCAAACTTGAAATTATGTTGGTCCAAGATCTAAGTTTTGGTGGCTTACTGGCTTTAGTCCCAAGTCTGTGGTTGGCATCATGGGGACAACCAGGAAAGGCAGCCTAGGATGAATAAACAAGAGAGGAAGGAGAAACATTTACTGAAGACGAACCATTGATGACTCCATATTTCTGCACCAGTAACGCTGCCTGCAGACTTTTCCCAGAGCCGGGGGGACCACAGAGGAGAATACGAGGTGAAAATGGAGCAGGTGTCCAAGGCGGAAATTGGACATGGGTCAGAACTAAGAGAGAGAGAAGTGGCAGGAGGTTAAACTGTCGAAATCTAAGTACAGATTTATATCCCCACTTAAGGCCTGTTGTATCAGACCCCATGTAGACATACAGGCTACAAAGCAAGCAAAGTTAGTGGCCAGGAAGCACACAGAAATTAAACACATGTCACGATACATCTGAGTCATAACTGGTCCAGAAGATGAATCAACATCCACCCACCTTTCTCCTCTGATTTGTGCCATGTCATCTTTCGCATGCCGTACAATAAAAGGATACCAGCTGCAACTGCATGCAAAGTTACCTGGAAATAACTCCCCTGAAATCAGTACGACTCTGCCTTTGTCATATGGCATTTCAACTCCCCACTGCCTACTATGTTTGGGGTTTGGTTTGGCTTTTGTTCTATTTGGGAATTTCACTAATATGGCACAAAGTTCAGTTAGATCCTAATAAATGAGGTGGTGGAATCAAAACCCAGCATGTTCAAGTTGTTCTATTCTAGTAGGCAGAAAATTCTCATTTAAACAGCCCATGGTGTTACTGTTATTCAGACAAGTTTTTCCCAGATGAGCTGATCTGTTCTTGGCCACTGTAAATGTTGCAATTTGTTCAACTAGCTGCTGTTTTTATTGTTTTTAAGGATAATGTTTATTCTGCCCTTTTTAATGTGGGGTTTGCTGCTATTTTGCACTATATCTGATTTTTAAAGGCTTTCAGCCACCTTGGCACCACTTGTAGAAAGGTGCAATATTTAATGAACAATAAATAACAAATATTTGTGTTGAGGCAGAGTCAACTTCTAGTATAACCACTATCATCACCACCACCACCACCATCACTACTATTATGATTTTCGCCAAAGAGGTGTTGAATTGATGGTGAAAGTTCAAGAGCAAAGAGACCAGAGAGTGATTTTGGAAGCCTCCTTGGAAACAAACACTGTGGATTGGCCAAACGCCTCCCAAACCATTCCTGTATGGCAGCCTCAAATGTGCGGGACTACATTTACCATCACCCTCAGCCAAATTCTGCCTGCGTGCAGGAGTTGTAGTCCGATGCATCTGGAAGGCACCTGGTTGGAGGAGTCTCCCCAACTACAATACAACCCATTTCATATTTTTACGCTACATTGGAGTCGCTGCCAATCAGTATTCATTTCCTTCCTTCCTTCCTCTTTCCAAGAACGAATTCAGGCTGAAATCCCAACCTTCTCGGGGGCCTTGGGAACCAATGTCGGTGCTCCATGGCCCACGGAGCCCAAAAGCCTGCAGGCAGGATCACAGCTGTACCTCCAGCCCTTCGCACTGTTGCTGACTTAACTTGGCTTGAGGATGACCAAAAGGCTTGAGGATGATCATGCGTTAGGATGACCAAAAGGTCTTTTCAAAAGAAATGGGGCTGATCAGGAAATGAAGGGATCCTGTGGAGGTGGTGGAACATGTTTGGTAGTGCTGACTCCAGTTTTGAAGGCTCTAGGGCAAGGCCCCTGCTGTGGGCCCCCTCACTCAGCGGGTCCTCCTTCTTTCTCGCTGCCATGGTCCCCGGCTGCTCTTCCTCGTCATGGCTGTCCTTTGCTTCCTTGACATACACGATCCAGCGTCAGCAGGCACTGGCTGCAGCGAGGGCCCTTGGGAGACACCCCATCAGGCCTGACCTTCACGCCCACCCTGGTGGCCGGATGGAGCTGGCGGCTTAGTGAAACTGCAGCAAGGTGGCAGGAAGGTTCAGGAAGCTTTGTTTAAAGGAAACAGGCATGGGCTTGTGTGAGTCCCCGGGGCAGAGGACCCTGGAAAGGGGCCTTCTGTACTTCATCCTTCACTGCCGGCGGAGGTCCACTGGTATTTCCTGGTTTAACCTCCGTTCCCCACAAAGCCAGAAGCCGGCCTTGCTCACAGCAGAAAATGATCTATTTGCACATAATTTATCCCCAAATAAATATCAGCTAACCAGAGACAGCACTAAGCTGTTCCTCCCAGCCCAAGCATATCCACAGCACAAACATAACAGGCCAACCAGCCTGCTTACAAATGATGCTTAATTTGCAGTAAATAACCAAGTTAATTAGGAGTAATGATCCCCCAGACAGTCTCCACATCTAATTATTCTTTTAAAAAAATGCTGGCTGGTTGATGCATCCACTAAGAAAAAAAGGGAGAGACAGAGGGAGAGCGATCTAGAGAGGGGTTTTTTTTCCGTTCCAATTTTCAATTTATCTCACCACATTATTAATTAATAATAATTAATATTCAGCCTGCACACATATATTTACAATTCAAGGCATGAATTGTTTATGAATGATGATGTGAACTTTTAAATTTAATTAAGTAATTTAGAGGTAATTAATTTGTAAATTCCAAATATAAACTTCCAACTTGTTTACCTTAAAGTGCAGTGCTTGTAATTAGAGGCAGGCCTTTTTCGAAATGCAAAATAGATCCAAGCCATATATATCAGACCCAACAGCAGATTGTTAGGAAAGGGGCTATTTTAAAAAAAGGAGGAGGCAAACAAAAAGCGTGCCTTAGAGTCATTGATTCCTGCCTTTTCCCTATGAAGAGCCCAAATGAAAGAGGTGATTGAAATACAAAGTTAAGACAGCGAACCAAAGCAAACTGGGGAGCGTCATGTACAAGTACAGCAAGACGTGCCTTAAAAAACGAGATTAGGGTTCATTTAGGCATGGCATTCCACTCCATCACACTCCTTTTGAGGAAGTTTAAGGACTCTTTCCCATAAAGAAAGAACGCCCATGCCGGCATGTCCGTTTCGTTCTGGCTTCTTGGACTGGCTTCCAGGGAGACAAAGCCCAAGGAAAGGGCTATTACAGAAGCCATAGTGTCAGATGTCACATTGAGCATAAAAGTCATTGTCTTGGAAAAAAGAGCTGAAAGACTAATAATTATTATTAGTTTATGCCTATTCTGCCTATCCCCAGGGTCAAAATCTCTGGAATTTGGCAGGATAGGAGATGGGGATGGAGACAGAGACGAGATTCTCATGCAAGTGTGTCCAGTAGGTGGTGATGCACTGTCTGTTAGAGGGCAGACACACGACAAGGGGCTGATCCTCTTCCAGCCAAGGGCAGAGGGCTACTCATAGAAACATAGAAACAGAGTGAGTCAAAAGGGGCATCCCAAGCCATCTAGTCTGACCTCCGGCACCAGCCGGCTCCGCTCACAACATGCCCACCATGTGGACGTCCAGCCTATCCTTGAACACCCGCACCGATGGGGCCTCAACCACCTCCCAGGGAAGCCCATTCCACACCCTCGGGGTCCTAACTGGCAGAAAGTGCTTCCAGGTACCTAAATGGAACCTTGGCTCCCTGAGCTTGGCTCCGTTGGAGCGCGTTCTGCCTTCCTCTGCAGGGGAGAACAGGTCTCAGCCCACCTCCGTGTGACACCCCCTCACATACCTGCATGTCACCAACAGATCCCCTCTGAGTCTCCTCTTCTCCAGGCTGAAGAGACCCAGTTCCCTCAGTCCCGCCTCATACGGCATCCCCTGCAAACCGGCCACCAACCTTGTGGCCCTACACTGCACTGACTCCAACCTGGCTATATCCTTTCTGTAATGAGGGGCCCAAAACTGAGCACAATGCTCCAGCTGCGGGCGCACCAGAGTCATGTAGAGTGGTAGTAATACCTCTCTCGCTCTAGAAGCCACGCTTCTGGCTATGCAACCAAGGGTGGCGTTCGCCCTCTTGGCCACCGCATCACACGGCTGGCTCATGTTCAGCCTGCAGTCAACCAGCACCCCAAGGTCCCTTTCACAAGTGCTGCTTTCCAGCCACTTGTCCCCTAACCTGTACTTATGACGCTTATTCCTATGCCCCAAGGGCAAGACCTTGCCCTTATCCACACTGAACGCCATCCTGTTGTCTCCTGCCCACTTCCATAGTCCGTCCAGATCCTTTTGGATCCGGAGTACCTGCTCCTCAGTTGTGGAGTTGTACTCGGGGGCAACATGCACGTGGTGACCAGGGCAGAGGCAAAAGGGGTGGCTGGATCTTACTTAAAGCTCTTCCTGCCATGAGCCATCGCCAGCTCGGAGGCTTTGAGGGTCTTGGGGCAATGCACCCCACATGGGGCCCCTCTCTCAGAGGGCCCACCTGCTAACTGCCATTGTCACCAGCTGCTCCTGCTCCTCAACCTTTCTCGCACCCGTTCCGCCACTCGGTTGCTTGGGAGCAGCAGCCCCACAGAACAGGTCAGCTATGGCACCTCCTTCCTGCCACCACCACTGTCTGAGTCAGAACAAGAGGCAGGGATCAGGCAGGCTGCAAGGGGAAGACAAGAAGCAGCTGAAAGGGGGGCTTGCCACAGGGACCCTGCTGCCTTTGAAACCTGCCAGCCAGCCAGCCAGCCAGCCAGCCAGGATGCCTCAGGAGAGCCTGTTCAAACTCTCAGACCGGGGAAAGCACTACATAAAAGTCAGGAGGCAGCCAAGGGATATGCAGCTGGGGACCTGGAGTGGGGCTACCTGGTGGAGGGCCATGTTTGGCTCCTGGTCTGAAGTTCTGCACCCCACCCTAGAAGACTTCTAGTTAGCTGGGGCCATGGAGTCAATACTGGGCTCAGACCACACAAGAACCCACATTCAAGGGTTGAGCATGGGTTGACACTGAATTGTAGGTTGTTGCTGAAAATGCAGATTTCTTGTTGGGTTGTGAACTGTGGATTGTTCACCATGGTTTGTTATCTTAGCTGGGTTCGGACAGCACAATAGCGAACATGCCAGCAGCAACCCATGGTTCAATGACAACTCACAGTGAATATTGAGAGTTATCACAATGTCTGAACCCAGTCAATGCTTTCTTAGCTCCTCGCTTTTCCCAATGACCAGACTTCACACTAAATGAGGCAAATGAATGTTCAAATCTACTCCTTTCCCAGAGGGGCCTGCGCCCAAGCCCGGCACCAGCCACGGATCCCAAGGGCTGTACATGTGCTTCCTACCTTGTGAGAAGACATCTGCACATGGCTGGTCAGCGTTGACCAGTTTCATGACTTTCCCAAAGGACTGGAGAATTCCAGGGTAATTTTGGTGGTATTTCAGCAGCCTCCTCGATGTCGCCACTTCAGAGATGTCTGGAGGCACCTCCAAATTCAGGCACACAGACTCGTCGGATGGCCAGTCGAACGTCGTATGGTATACCTCTAGGAAGCAGTCAGAACAGAAAGGCCCGTTTGAATAATGCCCTGGTCAGCAAGACTCGGAACCACTTGCAAGACGAGCCTGAGCCACAGAGGCAGACTCTCCCAGGGCCACTGAGCACAGCGGGAAGCGCAGCAGTGGAAGCAAGCACAGAGAGGGGCTGCCTTCTGTCCCTGCACTGCCAGAGCAGCCAGCCCCAGCCTGGCACCCTCCCGAGGCACTGGGCTACAACTGACAGGGAGTGCGGGAAGCAGCAGGTACAGTTGCTCCAGAGCCCTTCCCTGTCCCCACCACTGCTGGGAAGGCCATTTAGAACACAGGAGGGGGAAGGCACAAGAGTCAGAAGAGCACCGAAGGATCGGTGGCCGAGAAAACAAAAGCACGCCTCACCTCCAGTAACAACGTCCACGCGTTTCCCAAGGTTCCTCTCAATCAGCACCATGTCGGGAGCGTGAAGCACGACTGGCAAAGCAAAAGGAAAAAGATCAGCGCTGCCATTTACGAATTTGCCCCGCCTTCTTTCTTCTCAGGAGTAACCCAAGCCATCTTCCAGTGTCTTCCTCCTCTCCATTTTATCCTTACAGCAGCCCTCTGGGAGTAGGTCATGGGACCAGCAGGCTTCAGGGAGGAGTGGGGTCTAGAGCCCAGATCTCCCAAGTTCCAGTCTAACAATTGAACCATGCGTTGCTCAGGCGCTGCTGCCGAGTTCAGGATTCCACAGCCCAGGAGCAGGATGGGAGCCGGATGAGTGCCCAGAGACTGTTTTACTCCTGTAGCAAAGGCCACGGAGCCATCTTGAAATCAGTTTAAAATGCAAACTGCAAATACTCAGAGGGTTTGGGAGCATTTTTTAGCTATCAGGCTGGCAAACAATTCTGTTGTTCTCCGGAAGAATCCAGGAATGGGGAAACTGTTGCAAAGCCATGGAAGGAGGAAAGCAGAAAAAGTGGACGAGTGCTTCACAGCAGAAGTAACATACACAGGCATCTAAAGGATATGGAATTATCTAGCTGCACCCCTAGAACAGGCATGGAACTGCCTTTAAAATGTTCCACTACTTTGCACCTTTCCTCGCTTCTCACCCGAGATGCTGCCAGATGCAGCTGAACCTCTTTCAGCCCGAGGGCCAGATTCCATTTTAGAGCAGCTCTCAGGGCCTATTTTATATTTTATATTTTTATTTATTTTATATTGTTAATTTTAATTTTATACTGTTATTTTTTTATTTTATTGTGTTTGTAAGCCGCCCCGAGGCTTCGGCAAGGGGCGGCATAGAAATGTTCTAATAATAATAATAATTCTGGTGGTGGGCAGAGCAGAAGAAGAAGGGGGCTGGGTCGAAAATACCAGCGCATTTTCTCTTTCAGCATTCACCGCCACTGAGTGATCTTCAGGAAAGCCATTTCGGTTTGGAAGTGGTGGGGGAAGCATCCAGGCAGCCGCCAGATGATCAGTGGTGCAGAAAAATGAGGGGCACCAGGTGAGCCTCTCCGGGAAGGGTGTTGCACCGAGGGAGCGCCAGCAGTGGAAAGATGGAGCACCCTGCCTCAGAAGCCACGGCTGGCCCGTGCAGCCCTGCGAGGTCTCTCAGGGCCTCTGACACAAGGGGTTTGGGGCTAGGCAGGCGCAGGCTTCCTGACCCTGGTTCGCTCCCAGGCCCGCCTGCGTCTCTCGCGCCTGCTCCAGGTCCACCCACAGCTCAGCTCTGGCAAGGGGCCCCTTTCTCATCTCATGGCCCTTGCACACCCCCAACCTCACTGTCTGGGGCTTCTCCTTCCCCACAATTCCTCAGAAACAGATTGGAAAGATGTGCTGCTGCTGTTGCGTGAAATCTCATCAGATCCATTCTTACCAACGTGCCTGGGAATGATGCCCATTGCCTGCAAGAGCCGTGTCAGTTCTCGGGTCTCAGGGATGCCTTCCATAACCCAGCCCTGTTGGAATAAGACACGTGACGGTCGGTCAGTTGAATGAAGGGTGCAGCTCAGGCACAGCCATAAAACATGGTGGGACATTTATGGAGGATTGTGCAGGGCAGAGCTGCAGAACCTCTTTTAATCCACAGGCCTGATTTCATTTTGGAGAAGCTCTTGGAGGTCATATTCCAGTGGTGGGAGGGGCCAAAGACAGAAGGGGTGGAGCCAAAATAGCATAAATATCCCTGTGTTTTTGCTTAAAGCTTGTATTTGAAGGCATCACTCATGAAGCTCCATCAGATTAACACTGTCATTATGGTTTAAGAGTTTAAAATGCATGCTGCCCACCTCTGGCATACACAAGCTGAATTGCTCGTGATGGGGTAAAATATATAACCTTCTCTGTGCCTTGACAAGTCTCACTTGGGTAAGCCCCCCTGAAATTAATGGGAGCATCACAAACCTTTCTAGAGTTCAGGTGCATTTTGGCCAATACGGTGATCCGTTTTATAAACCAGGAGTTCTATTTTTTTTCCTATTCTCCAATAAAGTTTTGTAGTAAGCAAGACTCTTTCCAAGAGGGTGGGTGGGTCAGTGGGGAAGCTTCCAATTTTGAAATATTCAAGAGGATAGCAACCCACGCAGCAGATGAAAAAGCTAAACAAAGCTAAAGAGCAGAGAGCACAAAGGAAAAATATACACGTTTCATTCTTTTTCCTAAATTATACAGGAAAATTTGCTGTAATGGAACCCTCCCAACTCCCAGAGCTAATGAAGCAGCAGAGCTGAAGAGATCTATGCAGAAAGGGCCGTTTGCTCCCTAAAGTCCTTGTTATAGCCAGCTAAGTGTTGGATTGAACACATTTTTTAATTTTTTTTTTAAAGGATGAAGCACCCCCCCACCCCCAAATGCAAGCACTTAAAAGATCTGCGCAATACCAATACTCTGGGGCCAAACTGAACCCAGTTCAAATACTGAACCGAACTTCTGGTTCTCCCCACTACCTCCCTCAAAAGAAAAATTAATTTGAATCACTTTGTAACTCTCTGCTGGATGTGATTTGGAACAGAACTTCCATCATCAAATTGGAAGGGAGCCTTTAGGCCACCGAGTCCAACCCCCCGCTTCGCACAGGAATCCAGATGAAAGCGTCCGTGACAGATGGTTGTCCAGTCTCCGCTCGGGAAAAAACACCAATCCGATTACTGGCTCAAAGCAATTCTAAAACTTCCTTGACTCCACCCGGAACTGGGCACAGGACTCAGCAGTTCTGGAGGTCCTCTGCCCTGCTTACCAAACCTGTATTAGCTGAAATTCAAACCAATCAACGTGGAGCTCAAGTTCATGGTTTGACTCCAGGTTAGTAGTCAGTGCCCAGAAAATGAATGTGGGGTGAATCAGTATGGGGGGCAGAGGGCTCACCAATGACACTCTCCCAAAAGGCCCACTTCAACCAGGTGCCAGCCACACTGGACTCCCTGAAAGGAAGCTCGCTTTGGTCATCACACAGAGCATGAAGCCAATGCTGAAACACGCTAAAGCTCTGGTTGAAATTTTTCTCTGCCAGTCGCTTACCCTGACTGTTGCGTTACTACCAATAACTTCCAGAGGGACACGGGGGGAAATTTCATTTGGGTGCGCACTTGCACACACAAAGCATTTTAATACTGCATTAAGCCATCGATAATTACAGGCGCCTGCATCAACTTGAAGCCATAATCGGTAGGGGATCCAAGACACGGCAGAACTGTTCGAGGGAGATGTATCCCAGCGAGGCGAAAACCAGGACATTCTAATTACACCGGAAAATACAACCATCGACTTGCAACTCCCTAATTAGCCCAGTTTTACTAACATGCCATGCTACCGTTTTCTGCAGGAAATCAAAAACAGACTCAAGGAATTGTTTGCTTCAGCCACCGCCCTGCCCACCATCCCCATCGTCTCATAGCTGGGATGGGAGCATTGTTAAGGGAAAGTGGGTGTTGAAAAGAGGCGATGGAGAGCTGGGCCAGATGGATGAGCAACGGCGCCCAGTACGTGGTGGCGTCCGTGGGCATCAGAGAGACGGCCCCTAGCGCCTGGGGAGGGCCCCAAGTGCCACCCTTGGCATCGGTCGGTGACTCCTGACTGCCTCGTGTGGTGAGCCACAGCACTGCAGCCTCCCAGGGGAGGGTCAGTGGCGCTGACCACTGCCCCGTGTGGTGAGTCCCAATATTGCCGCTTCTTCAGGAGGGCCCTTCCTGAAGGCTCCTCCTCGACAAGAAGGAATGTAAGTATACATCCCGGCCTGGGCAGAATTTTGCTTAAGATGCAAGGTTGGCCGGAGCTCTGGTCTTGCTCCCTGGTTCTGAGCCTTGTCTCGGTCGCTGGTGTGCCCTCACGTTGCTGGACGGTTTTGACTCACCCCAGACGGCTGCCCGAGATCCCAGCTGAGGAGATGGGACGGATATCAGTGCCCCTCAGCTGGAGACGCAGGCGGCTCCAGAGCCAGCAACCCAGATCCAGAGGAATTAATCGTAAGGCAGCCCTTTTTAGTTCTGAGAGACACAACAACCAGCTTTTCCTGTTCATTTCCTGAACCCACTGGGTATGTCAGCAAGCCCCTCCCTCCCAGGCTCGGCCTTCTCCCCTGCCTCTGTTCTGCAACAGGGGCACTCACCGGTCTCCAGGTGCTCCTGCAGAGATGATCGTGAGGATGAGATCATTATAAATATGCTTCTCCAGACACCAAAGGACAGCCTGTGAACCATGCCCTCCCACTACTCTGCTAGCCTAGATGTTTTCTCAGGGGGGTTAGACAAATTCATGGCAGACAGCTAAACAAAACCCTCCAGAGTTCAGAAGCAGTGCCATACCCTCTATTTCAGTCTTCGAGCTTTGAGTTTTGGTCCTAATGCAGTGAACATGGCACCATCCACACATGAGAGGAAGGTCCTGACAAGCTTGGGGGGACTCCTGAATTTTGCAGAAGTACCAAAATTTTAGGAAAATTTATCAGAGAATGGGAGGCAAACATTGTCCAGTCAGGACTGATCGTGCTCAGAAGACTTGAAATAGAGTGATGTTTTCAAGGGTGCAAATTGGGCCAAAGAAAGTACACCGGAAGCCTGAATAGCTGCATTCTTAGCAGCAACATTTTGATGTAGGTCCTGCATGTACCTATGAATATTGGAGGCCAGACCACAGAACTGGAGGGGTTAGTGCCCCTTGACCTCTATTTCTAAGGCATCTGCCTAACCATTTCTCACAACCATAAATGCGGAGGTAAGGACTTTGGCCTGGCTCAACGATTCTTCCATCAAAATGATTTTTTTAAATGCCTACAGTTGAGGCCACTAAACTACCAGCTCAAATGTGCAGCTCCTGCCCATGAGCAGAATGTGTCAGTCCAGCTTCATGGTCACTATTTAAAGTGTGCAATTTTGCCCACCTGGTTCTAAGCAATACAACAGTGAAGAGATGAAGGTGGCTCAAACAAGCAAGTTGTTTGTAATTAACTGCATTTCAAGGCGCCATGCTAATGCATTATAAATAAGCCCTCTCTAAAACAGATATATGGGTCATTCTGCCTCCCAATTCACCCCCTCAAAGGTCTCCCAGTTCCAAGGCCCCAGCCAATGCCTAATTAGAATACATTATCTGTCGGCCTGACACTTCAGTGAAATGTCTAGTCCACCGCCGAGAAGCAGCTCTGCTCGGTGCGGGTTTATTGATATTCCACCGTGTTCCCTTCGCCTTGCCCCCTGTGGCTCAGTTCTGTTTTATCACACATCAAAAGGGCCGTATGCTCAGGGCAGCCCCCCCCCCCACAAAAAAAAAACATGCATGGCTCAGAGCTGGAGGTCTGGAACAGCTGCAAGGAGGGTGGTATCACAGAAGGGACACGCTCCAAACAGATGTCAGAGATTTAGGAAATAAGAAAGAAAGAGAGAGAGCGAGAGAGAGAGAGAGAGAGAAGGAAAGGCACATCAACAAAAAGAGAAAGAGCATAAGAAGTGAATGGAAGCATGGCACGAAGAAAAAATGCAGAGCAAAGCCAGGCTAATCACACTTGGTGCAAGTGTTGATCTTTTCTGTCCTCCCAACTAGCATTAAAGTCTAATTACTATCTTCATATGCAGAAGATTTGCTTCTTTAAGAAGTCATCCTAGAGAGAGGCGGCAGCATCCCCTCACGGACAAATAATCCCCAGATGCCGAAGTTGGGGGGCTTACCGTGCCATGCCTAAATGGAATTAAAGATCCGCATTGTTTGTTTCTCATGTCTCCATTTTTCTCCCACTTGATGTGCTTTGAAATGGGCCACCTCAGGGAGACGTCCCAGTCGTCTAAAATGGATGGCATATCCTCTTTGGGATCCACCTGAAAAGCTACTTCCAGAACACACAGCTTTCCTGCTGGAGGAAGACAAGAAAGAAGCCCCCCATCCAGCAGCCAGAGCTAACGGAGAGGTCAGAGGCCTTTGACGTAGCTGGGCCGAGGGGTTTGCATGTGGATGGGGCTGTTGACACTTTCCCTTCACAGCAAGGAAAGCTGTGCAGCTAGACTTGTGAGATTCAGGCCTCTGCTGTCAAAATTTAGGTTTTGAACATGGACTGAGGCAGGGACATGCCTTCCTTCCTTCCTTCATCTTAAACAGTATGTCTTGCTTTCTCTCTCCAAAACAGAGATGCACAAAGTAGCTAACATTAATTTTAAAAAGCTTTGAAAAACCTAACCGAGCAACAATAAAACATCAAAACACATCAGTGCTAATGTCACTCTGCGAAGCACCATTTCATAGACTCCACATGGTCCCTGTTTACCAGGCTCAATTGCAAGCCTTCTGGTTTCTATCCCTGATAAATCACTGTCCAGATGTTGCTCTGTTTGGGCCTTGTGGGGAAAATGCCTTGTTAAAATGCTTGTTAGTCTCAGTTGCAAGAATCATCATTCTTCAGGGTCCAGCTCCCCCGCCCCCGACCTGAGCACAGGGACAGAGAATGTCCAGGGCTGTGTGTGTGTCTTTTCTAGGA